TGATCGACTGGATCCGTGCAGCTCGTCTCCAGCTCAGGCAGAGCTTCGGCTCGGACTTTCCTGTTCTGCGTCTGCACTCTGACAGAGGTGGAGAGTTCTCCTCTGGCCTTCTGCGAGCCTACTGTCGTGCGCGAGGCATCCGCCAGACCTTCACGCTTCCGGACTCTCCACAGCAAAATGGGATTGCTGAGCGCCGCATTGGCATGGTCATGGACGTCGCCCGTACGTCCATGATGCATGCGGCTGCCCCCCATTTTCTGTGGCCGTTTGCGGTTCGGTACGCGGCGCATCAGATCAACCTTCGCCCTAGGGTCTCCAGGCCGGAGACCTCCCCAGCTTTGCTGTGGACGGGGAAGGTTGGCGATGCGTCTGCGTTCCGTGTCTGGGGATCTCGGGCGTTTGTCCGCGACTTGTCTGCGGACAAGCTGTCCCCTCGTGCTGCTCCTTGCGTCTTCCTTGGCTTCCCCCCTGACGCGCCAGGGTGGCAGTTCTACCACCCCACCTCTCGCCGTGTTCTGTCCTCCCAGGACGTCACGTTTGACGAGTCGGTCCCCTACTACCGCCTCTTCCCCTACCGCACTCCGTCCCTCCCCCCACCACCGCTCTTCCTTGTGCCAGGTCCCCCCCCGGTAGACCCCCTCCCCCCTCAGGGTCCTGCCCCTTCAGGTGTGTCCCAGGTAGACGCAGTCGAGCCTGTCGAGGTTACTGGTGACTCTGGTGCTGCTGAGGGTGCTGAGCCTGGGGGTGCTGACGCTGGGGGTGCTGAGCGTGTGGGTGCTACGCCTGGGGGTGCTGAGCCTGCGGGTGCTACTACTGGGGGTGCTGAGCCTGGGGGTACTGAGCCTGGAGGTGCTACTACTGGGGGTGCTGAGCCTGGGGGTGCTGAGCCTGGGGGTGCTGAGCCTGGGGGTGCTACGCCTGGAGGTGCTGAGCCTGGGGGTGCGGAGCCTGAGGGAGCTGGGCCTGCTTGTGTGGCGTCTGGCGGTGCTGAGCCTGGAGGTTCTCCGGGTGCTTCGTCTCGGCGGGAGCCACTCTCTCCACAGGAGCTGCGCGAGTGGTTTGCCCGGCGCTGGAGGCGTGCTGCTGGTGCTAGAGGTTCTTCGGCTACTGAGGGTGCTGGTGCCGCGGGTCCCGGAGGTGCTCGTACTGGGAGTACTGGAGCTGCTGGGCCTACGGGTACGACTGGAGCTGGAGCTGCGGAGGGTGTTGACGCTGAGGCTACTGCTGTCGGTCCTGGAGGCGGTTCTGCTGGGGGTGCTACTGGTGCTTCTGGAGGTACTGGAGCTGGAGGTGCTGCTGGCGCTGGTGCTGCCGCTGGGGGTACTGGTGCTGTCCCTGCTGTGTCTGGAGTCGCCGCGCGGCCTCGGCCGTACTTCGTTCCGCTCCTTCAGCAGGTTCTTGGTCTCCCGCCTTCTACTGGTCCTCCTCCTCCCTTAGAGTGTCCACAGCCTGTCCTGTCACAGTTACAGTTACAGCCGGCCTCCGCACTGCCCGCTCCTTCTCCCTACACTGGTCCTACTGGAGGTCTTGCTGAGCGTCGTGAGCCTGCGTCGCGTCCTGCGTCGCCTGTCCGTACTGCTCGCGCTAGTGGTCGTGGTTCGCGTCAGCGTCCTCCTCCTGTCCCTGGCACGCACCGGATGTCTCTGCGTCCGTCCACTGCTCCTCTGCGTGCCCCTTTGCCTTCTCCTCCTGAGTCCTCTCTTCCTGCTCTTCCCGACCCGGAGTCGGACTCTCTTCGTGCTGCCAGTCCTACTGTCACACGTCTCCTTGCTACTGTCGTCACTGACCCTTCCTTTGCGTCCACTGCTGCGTCTGCCCTAGTTGCTGAGCTCGTCGACTTTGCTGCTCGCTGTCGTCTAGACTACGTTGCTTGTCTTGTCGCTGAGTCTGAGTCTGTCTGTCCTCCGTCCGTCGGGGGTGAGTGTGCCCTTGGCACGGACGTCCTTGAGGACAGGCAGGAGGAGTTCCAGTGTTTGGCTGCTGCTTCACCTCATCTCGTGTCCGTACTGCTTACCCCTGAGGGAGACCCGGATGCACTTGACATCCCGACTCCGCGCTCTTACGCGGAGGCGATAGAGGGTCCCTACTCCTCTCAGTGGCAGGCAGCTATGGACACAGAGATGGCTTCCTGGAAGTCCACAGGCACCTACGTTGACGAGGTTCCCCCGCCTGGGGCGAACATCGTCAGTGGCATGTGGATTTTCAGGGTGAAGCGGCCGCCGGGTTCTCCGCCTGTCTTCAAGGCGCGTTACGTGGCTCGTGGCTTCAGTCAGCGGCAGGGAGTTGACTACTTTCAGACCTTCTCTCCCACCCCGAAGATGACCACTCTTCGGGTACTGCTGCACATAGCTGCTCACCGCGACTACGAGCTGCACTCTCTTGACTTCAGCACTGCTTTCTTGCAGGGCAGCCTGCACGAGGAGATCTGGCTGCGTCGCCCACCTGGCTTCACTGGGTCTTTTCCTCCTGGCACCCAGTGGAGCCTCCGGCGGCCAGTCTACGGTCTCCGCCAGGCACCGCGTGAGTGGCACGACACACTGAGGACTACACTTGCGGCTCTTGGGTTTGCTCCCTCTACTGCCGACCCGTCGCTGTTTCTGCGCACCGACACTTCTTTGCCGCCGTTCTATATCCTCGTGTACGTCGACGACTTGGTCTTTGCCACAGCTGACACTGCTGGACTCGCCCACGTGAAGTCTGAGCTGCAGAAGAGACACACGTGCACAGACCTGGGTGAACTGCGCAGCTACCTTGGCTTGCAGATCACCCGGGACAGAGCACGCCGCACCATTACCCTGACTCAGTCACACATGGTGCAGCAGGTCCTTCAGCGCTTCGGCTTCACGTACTCCTCGCCTCAGGCCACTCCTCTGCCTACTCGCCACTCGCTCTCAGCTCTGCCTTCGGATGAGTCCGTAGAGTCGAGTGGCCCGTACCCAGAGCTTGTTGGCTGCCTCATGTACCTGATGACCTGCACACGACCTGACCTCGCATACCTTCTTAGCATTCTCGCACGCTATGTTGCTCCTGGGAGACACAGACCGGAGCACATGGCTGCAGCAAAGAGGGTGTTGCGTTACTTGTGCAGTACGTCGGGCATGGGGCTTGTGCTTGGAGGGCAGAGTCCAGTGGTCCTCACTGGGCACGCAGACGCTTCTTGGGCTGACGACCAGGCTACGCAGCGGTCGTCACAGGGTTACACCTTCAGCCTTGGTTCCGGCTCTGTTTCGTGGCGGGCTACCCGCTCGTCTTCTGTTCTCGGCTCCAGTTGTGAGGCTGAGATCTACGCCGGGGCCATGGCTGCACTGGAGCTTCGCTGGCTCACCTACCTGCTGACTGACCTCGGAGAGCCGCCTCGTTCTCCTCCAGTGCTGTACGTAGACAACAAGGCCATGCTGGCCTTGTGTCGAGAGCAGAGACTGGAGCACAGAACGAAGCACATTGCTCTCCGCTACTTCCTTGCTCGTGAGCTACAGCAGCGTGGTCAGCTGCGGCTTGCGTACGTGGCCTCTCAGGCCAACACTGCTGATATCTTCACCAAGGCACTTACGCCTTGTGATCATCAGCGTTTCTGTACTCAGCTGGGCCTTGTGCCTACCTTGCCTCACTTGCTCACCCCTTGACCTTGTTTGTACTGTTGCATATATATATACACCTGCTCTTGCTTGTCTAGCCTTATATATATATGTAATCCTGCATGTGAACTGGCCTTGTGGCCTTGAACCTGTACTCGGAATGTGTGGTGACTTTGTGATCCACCCTGAGCTTGCTTTGCTTTGCTTGACTGGTCTTGTGACCCCTTGTTCTCCCCCACTTTGCCTATGGGGGTGTGTCAGATTTATATGACAGAGCTACTGTAGGCTATAGTGGGGTAGCACATATGGGGTACAGTTTTCTAGGGTTTGCATTTGTACCCAACTTTCCCTTAGTCATTCTCATTCCTCGTTTCTTCTCATGGCAAGCTATGCAGTCCAAGGGGTACATACATCACATTCCATTACTCGACACAAGCATTACGGTTACCAATATGATCGATATGTCTGTTGTGATACCTACGGTTACCGAACGCTATTACAACCCCAGAATGGTCAACAATGCTAGAACAACTGCTATTGACGTTCCATCTTCTTTTCATTTCGTCCTCGATATGAGAGAAACACGGTAGTGCAGGACAGCTTCTTATGCTAAATCAGCCCCCTTTTCAACGTATGTTTGGAGGTCAGGGCAGATATTTCAGACGTCTATTAAAAAAATATAATTGTTTGTTTAGTGTAAAAGTATATTTTGTGGGATGTTTTCCCGTTTTTGGCTGATTTTCAGCGTAAACAGGCCAACAGGCCTTTGGAAGCTTGCATATTGAGGAAATCCAGAACTAAAGCATTGGCATTTTACGAGGAAAAGAGGGATGAAGAAGCATTTCTTGCAAAGGACTCTAGTATTATAAGCCTAAGATAATAGGAGATCCGACTGTAGCTAAAACTGGAATTCTATACGCTGAGGAAATTGGTGATTCCGCTGCAGCAAATTCACGAAAGATCCTCCCATTCCTTCCTTGCTTGTACTGGTTCTTGGGAAACTCCGCCATTTTTCTGAATGTCAGTCGCGATGTTCCTTCAGACGAATTTAGGAGGCGCGTAGTGGCGTAGCAAGCAAGGGAATACGCGGCTGGGAACGAAAGGTGTCAACCATGTTTGAGGCTCACGTAAGTCTTACCGTTTACTGGCATGTTTTCTTGGCTTAGTGAGGTCGGCCTTTCACGTGATGTCAACCTGGCTAGCTTCTTGGGCCAACGAGACATCAGGAGCGCTCGATGCCTGCCGGTTGCGTAACTCGACTGATTGGGTTCTACTGTCGAAAACAAGTCTCTCAGTTCCAGTTAGCAGAGTCCCAAGTTGACTCGACTTGGCCAAATTGCCGATCGAGTTTCACGTGACGTCAGTCATGCATATCATGGCGCGGTGTCCACAAGTCCTTGGATGCGTGGTTGAGATGATTGGCAGGTGCTGGGCCTGCTGCGAAAGTATCTGGGCGAGTATGTCCGCAACATCCCAGACGAGGCGCTCAAGATCAGTGTCTGGCAAGGTCAGAAAGCCCGGATCCTCTCCCCCCCCCCCCCCCCCCCCGTCCCCCGCTCCTCCCCTGTCATACACCGCCATGCCAATGTTATCTCGCCCTTTTCCTTGATTCAGCGTTACTGCTGGTGCGTATTTATCTTTCTGTGCCTGTTAGTTCCTGTGCCTCTGCATCCTTCTGCGCCTGCTCACGTTCTTGTGCCTCTTCGTGTTGCTACGCCCGGCAATTGTGGTGCGGGTGATGCGTTGCCATGCACGCATGTCGACCAGGCGACGTGGTGCTGAGGGATCTGCAGCTCAAGGAGGAGGCGCTCAACCGCCTGCGCCTGCCCATCGCCGTCAAGGCCGGCTTCATCGGATCAGTCAACCTCAAGGTCTCCTCTCCTCCTTCCCCGCATCCCACCGCTCGCATGCATGCTGCTCCTGTCTTTGGGGCTCTCCCCTTTTTATGTGGAATTTATGAATTGGTCCGATTGACCCTATCCTGTCCTGTCACGTCCTTCTCAGTCGTCACCTTATTTCAGAGACGTGCTGGCAGCATCTTTGGCCATTGCTGGACATGCCGTGCTCTGCCATGGTGGTCCCGTAACGGGCACATCAAGTGCCATAATGTGTGTGCTGAACGGGTCGCTTAGTGCGTACATGATGTGTCCCTAATGTGGCATCATGCGTCTCAAATTCTCAATGGTCACATGACGGGCAAGTAATGTGCCGCAATGTGTTATATTGTGCAATTAGGTGCCATACTGTGCTGATTTGTGCCGTAATGTTCGCATAACATGCTGCTGTTATGCTGCCATGATTTTGCTGTAGTGTGCGGTAGTGTGCTGTTATGTGTCATACCCTGCCGCGATATGCCATAACATTTCGTAGTGTGTCATGCTGTAATGTGTCATCACGTGTTGCAATGTTAACTCAATGCGCAGATGTTGTGCCGTAATGTGCCATGTTGTGTTGCAGTGTGGCGTAATGTGCTGTAATGGGTGCATATTGCATACATGATGGTACTTAATGTGCCCCGAATGTGCCAAAGTCTGCTCTTAGTGTGCCATAATGTGCCGTAATGTGCCATGGTGTGCCATGAATATCACGGAACGCGCACATGATGTGCTTTTATGTCCCAGAACGTGTCTTCATCTGCATGCATCTCACAAAGTGCCACAATCTCCCTGAATGTGCACCAATGTGCTGTACTGTGCCATAACGTGCCAAAGTGTGCTCGTACTATGCAATTTGTGCTGTACTGTGCTGTTGAATGCCGTAGCATGGACATTGTGTCTCATAATTCGTTTACATTGTGTCATGTTTTGCGGCAATGTTCTGTAATATGACGTAATGTGCCATATGGTGCACATAATGTTTGATAATGCTGAATATTTCTTGAATGGGCTGTGCCCGTACGACTTCTCAACGGTCGTTCTGCAGCACTGTGGCACTGCTCTGCAAGGAGGTGAGGAATGCTGTCCAAGGCTCTGGGAAACAGCGCTGTGGTGTAAGGTTCACAGTGTGCCATGATACGCCCTCATTTGCTTGCACCATAACCGTGGTGTGCTGTGGTGTGCTGTGGTGTGCTGTGTGGTGCCATGTGGTGCAGGTGCCATGGAGTCGCCTGGGAGTGGAGCCGGTGGTGCTGCTGCTGGACCGAGTCTTCATCCTCGCCCACCCCTCCTCTGCCCCCGCCTCCTCCTCCCATCAGGTTCCGCCCCACCCCTCCCCCGCTGCCTCCACCTCTTCCCCACTCCACCATGCCTGCAATCTCTGTTCCCACCATCTTTCTTCCACTTGCCCCACACCTATTCATATGCCCACTTCTCGTACTCGTTGTGTTTTCTTCCTGACTACTACAGAACAGTCCCTATGCTGGACTTGTTGCCACCCTGTGACCAAGGGCCTCGGCATTGCACGTGCCATCCGTCTGATGCTCCTTTCTTGCGCTGGGTTGGGCTGTGGGGAGGTGGTGCCGTGGTTGGGGTGCAGTCAGCGGAGGAGGAGGAGCAGCAACGCCTGGAAGCAAAGAGGCGCAGAATAGAGGTAGGCCTCGTGTCACCACTGTGCCCTTGGTGCTGTGCGCATAGTGTGCCACGTGCGTCCAACCGCCTCTGATGTGCTGCCACGTGGATTCAACTGCCTCTCATGTGCTGCCACGTGAATCCAACCGCCTCTCATGTGCTGCCACATGCATCCAACCGCCTCTCATGTGCTGCCACGTGCATCCAACCGCCTCTCATGTGCTGCCACGTGCATCCAACTGCCTCTCATGTTCTGCCTCGTGAATCCATCCGCCCCTCTTGTGCTGCCACGTCACGTGCAGGAGGCGGAGGTGGCAATGCTGGAAGCAAGGGAGCGACAGAAGGCAGGAGGCGACGAGCAGGTGGGGGATGATGAGAGGATGTGGGGGATGATGAGAGCAGGTGGGGGATGATGAGAGGATGTGAGAGGAGAGTGAGCAGTCGAGGGAGACAATAAACGAGGAGAGAAAAATTATGCGAGGGAGAGAGAGAGCAGGCAGAATTGGCGGCATTGTAGGAGGAGCAGCAGTGCAGGAGGCTATACGGCTGCCAGCGCCTTGTTTAGGAGCTTTGCAATGCCTGTCATGCTCCCAATCTGGCTAGCTCTTAATTGCTGGATCTCCTTGGCATGGCATGCATGAGGGGTGATGGCAGGCGGGCAGTGGGGCATCTTGGATATCATCGCTGATCGCCACGATAGTGGGCAACATCAAGATCTCCTTCACCAACGTGCACATCCGATATGAGGACCTTGGCAGGTCTGCGCTGCTACACTCATACCAGCACGCACACACCACAGCAGCAGCATGACGCCTCTTTGAATCATTGCTTGCTTGCCGTCCTTAGCTAATCTCACATCCTTCGTTTCTCATGTGCTCCTTCCTGCTCCCCTTCCTGCCCTGCACCCTACGACAGCCTGTCAGGGCGTCCCTTCTGCACGGGGGTGACACTGGCGCTGCTGGCAGCGGTGACCACGGATGAGAACTGGGTGGAGACGTTCGTCACCAGCGGGGCGCTCGACAGCCTTTACAAGGTGCGCGCCCATGCTCCCCCTCTGCTCTTCTGCCCCATCCTCCATCTGCTCTGCTGCCGCATGCTCAGGTTCATCCCTATGTCGCTGCTTATTGTACTGTATGCGTGATGGCATGCTATAAAGTCCGTCCACGCCGCTCCTTACCCACCCCCCCCCTCCCTGGATGCGTGTGTGTGGGGGTGGCAGGCGGTGCATCTGGAGTGCCTGGCGGTGTATCACGACAGCAACAGCGGGCCGTGGGACCCGCACACCGCGTGGGACGCCATGCAGGGCGCACAGTGGAGCGAGGTATGCCCGCCCGCCCGCCTTCCCTGCCCGCTACCTGCGCATGTCCTTTCCTTGGCAAGGGTCTGCGGGACTAGTGAGCTCCTTTCAGTTCTGAACGGCCCTGAGAGTCCGCCCTCGTCCATGTGCTGCTGTGCTGTGCGTGCTGGTGCCTGCCCCCTCTGGCAGGTGTTTGAGGCGGGCATTCATGAGCAGGCGCCACCCAGTGCAGGTGCCATTGACTGGGCGGCGAATCGGCAGTTTCTGCTGCATCCGGTGGACGGCAGGATGCGGTACGAGCGGCGCAGCAAGAAGGAGAGGCGGCGCGACGACGTGCCGTTCCAGACGGCCGCCCTGCAGCTGGGGCAGGTGGCGCTCACTCTCTCACAGGTCAGTGCAGCTGGGGCAGGTGGCGCTCACTCTCTCACAGGTCAATGCAGCTGGGGCAGGTGGCGCTCACTCTCTCACGGTTCAGTGCAGTAATTTTCAGGTTCTCGACATATAAGCACACCTACACATGCACAGTGCACGCCCCGTGCTCTTCTGCCTCCGTGTACCACCCCATCCCTCCCTCTCCACCCCCCTTCTCCTCCCTCCCTGTCCGCGAGTACAGACGCAGTACGAGGACGGGATGAGGTTCATGGAGGCGGCAGCGCTGTACCGCCGCCGTGTGGACGTGGCTCACCTGCGCCCGCGCCTGCCCGTGCGCTCCCACGCCGCCCTCTGGTGGCGCTTTGCTGCGCGCGCCCTGCTGCAGCAGCACCACGCCCTCAGGTGCGCCGTTGTCTCTGCTGCACGCCTGACTGCTGCCCTTGGCTGTGCCCTGCTTGTCCCATCCCAGTGCCAAAGTGCTGCTGGTTTGCGCGCACTGACCAGTGCGCCGTGCCATGCGGCATGCAGGCCAACGATGACATGGAAGGGCATCAAGGACAGCTGCACCATGCGGCGCCGCTATGTGGCGGCATACTCGCAGGCGCTGCTGGACGCGTGGGCGGCGGGCGCCCCTGTCAAGCCGGGCGCAGCAGCGGACAGCGCTGAGATGCGCTCCATCGAGGCGCTCGTCAGCGTGGAAGTCGCCCTGCTCTGGCGGTGAGCTCTCAGGGTTGGGGGGAGGGATGGAGGGTTGCTAGGGCAGAATAAACGAGGAAGAGTGAGTGGCCGAAGATGGCTGGTGTGTCAGGCCTGTGCGCACCCCACATGTCATGCTGTGACTGCGGCAGTCACCTGCCGCTTCTTTGTCCCTCAATTGCCGTTCTCCTCTCTGTCCCGTGTGCCCTCTGTGCCCCTCCCGCTCCACACATGCGGCACAGCATGCTGGCGCACTCACAGGCGGAGCGCAGCCGCCCCAAGGCGCAGCGGCAGGCAGTGCAGCCCAAGGCCAAGGGGTGGTTCGCCTCCTGGTGAGACGGGGGGAGGTCACATGCGGGGATTCCACGAGTGCTGGGGCGCTGTGCCGTGCTGCCACTCTTTGCTGCTGGCTTGCTGCTTGCTGCGTGCTGCCTGCTTCCCTAAACCCTGTCTGTGGCCCGATCCACACCTCATCCTTGCTGTCCGTGTGCCAGCCCAACCTACCCCTCATCCTGCCTCCCCATCTGCCTGCGTGTGCTGGGTGCCCGGCAGGCGAGGGGCATCCGTGCCAGCGGACGCAGGGGGTGGCGAGGGGGCGGAGGAGGAGGGGGAGGCGGGGGGGTTGAGTGCGGAGGAGTGGGAGAAGATAGAGGAGCTGGTGCGCGCGGGGGAGGAGGCGCAGTACGAGCCGGGGCAGGCGGCGGCGGGGGCGGTGCAGATGGAGGTGCAGGTGGGCATGGACTGCTTCCGTGCTCGCCTCGTGGACGGGGGGGCGGGTGTGGACGTGGTGTGCGGGTCGTGCCACCACCTGCACGTGGCGCTGCGCCTCTACCCCCTCATGCTCAAGGCTGACGTCAGCCTGCGCCTCTACGACCTTGCTGTGCCCGAAGGCACCCTCATTGAGGTGAGAGGGTGCGGTCATTGAGATGCGGCGTGCTGAGAGGAGGCGCTGGGATGGGATGATGGCGTCTTGGTTGTCGTTTGAGTGTCTGCATGGGTGTTCATTCAGTTGCACTGATGCCTTCATGCATGCATATTGCTTTCCCATGCTCCATGTGCCACGCGCTCGCTCAGTAATCACTCTCTTTCTGCTGCCATGGCCTTTTGTGTGAGTGTGTGTGTGTGAGTGTGTGTGTGTGCGGTGTGTGTGTGGGACTCTGTTAGTATGTGTGGGAGTGTGAGTGAGTGTGAGTGTGTGTATGTGTGGGTGTGTGTGTGTGTGTTGTGTGGGTGTGTGCGTGTGTCTGTAAGTGTCAGCGTGTGTTGTGTGAGTGTGTGTGAGTGTGTGTGAGAGTGTGTTTGCTCGAGTGTGTGTGTGTGTGTGTGTGTGTGTGTGTTTGTGTGTGTGTGTGTGCGTGCTTGTGCACCGGTGCATGAGCACACAGAGTGTGAGCAGGGAGGGCAAGGAGGCGGCACTGACAGCATCATTCGTGCAGCACCCCATCGATGAGCACCTCGACTGGATGCTGCTCGCCGCCCTCTCGCCCTGCCACGTCACGGTGCCCGCCACTCCGCCCTCCTCCTGCATTCCACAGCCCTCATCCCTCCTTCTTCCTCCCTCCCTCCTCCCTCGTCCCTCATACCTCGTGCCTCCTCCTCCTCCCTCAACCTACATCCCCCGCATTCTTCTTTCCCTGCACGCCATGCTCCTTCACTCTCCATTACCCCTGCTGTGCTCTCTCGCATCCCCCTCTGCGATATTGTTTCTCTGAATCTCCCTCCCGCCCTCTCCCCCCCCTTCCCCAATGCCCGTACAGCTGTGGCGGCGCAGCATAGACCGAGTGCTGCACTTCCTGCGGGCAGGCCAGCAGGCCACACCTGCCGTCGCCCTCGAGACCGCCGCCGCCCTGCAGGTGCCCGCCCTCTCTCTGGACTGCCCTCGGATCATGCACCTGCACACTATGGCACCAAGCACGTATACCTCACTGCCACCCTCCTTTCTGTGGCAATTGAGAATGTGCGACCTTCTCCATACCAACTCACAAGTGCTGCCTTCTCTGCCCTGCACACCCCTCCATGCTCCTGCCGCCCTGCTCCCGCCCACGCCTCCCCTCCCCCCTGCAGAGCAAGCTAGAGGACGTGCGGCGGCAGGCCCAGCAGCAGCTGCAGCAGGTGCTGCAGCGACGCACCAGGTATGGGGGGAAATGGGGGGGAGAAAGGGTCAAAGGAGGCCAGAAGAGCGAGTGGGGGCTTTGGGGCTGCAACAGGGGCCTTGAGGACGAGGATGCGTTGGGGCACACCGCATGCCAAACGCAACCTTCACTGCCCCGCCACTGCCACTTCAATGCATCACCTCTGCACTCTCACCTCCGCCCGTTGCATATTCCCCCCACCTCGACCACCCCCCCCTCTCTTTTTTGCAGGTTCTCCATCGACCTGGACGTGGACGCCCCCAAGGTGGCCATCCCCGCTGACCCCTCGCCCCACGGGGAGCCGCCCACGCAGCTGCTGCTCGACTTCGGCCACTTCACCCTCAAGACCGACCAGGTGCCCCCCTCTATGGCCTCGTGCCGCCCTGCTAAGTGGTCACGCTGACTCGCACCATCGATCGCCTACAGCCACGTGACGCGGCTGACAGCCTCGCCATGCTCACCTCATCTTGCTCTCACGCTCACAAGCAGCGTTTTGACTCCTCACGACCTGGCCGGTGGCTGGCCATTGCTCATGCTTAGTTTGGCATCCCACCGTTGCCGCGGCCCTGTCACCACCTCACCGCTCCCCCACCCGCCCTCTTGCCCCTTGCGGCGTGCAGGACGACCCATCGGCGGAGGGCAGTGAGGCGGCGGCGGCGGCAGCGCTGTACACGCGGTTCAAGATCACGGCCACCGACATCTCCATGTCCATCGCTGATGGCGCCTTTGACTGGCGCCGCTACCAGCAGCAGCAGGGGCAGCACGGTGGCACGGATGGGGAGGCGGGTGCAGGGGAGGGCGCATCGGGATCAGGGTGGCTGCGCCTGGACTTGCTGCAGAAGTGTGGCCTCTCTGCCGTGCTGCACCAGGTGGGTCTCTGCTGGCTGCACCAGGTGGGTCTCTGCTGGCTGCACCAGGTGGGTCTCTGCTGGCTGCACCAGGTGGGTCTCTGCTGGCTGCACCAGGTGGGTCTCTGCTGTGCTGCACCAGGTGGGCTCCTCTCGTCTGCTCGCATACCAACAACATGCCTATGTTGCATCGTAAGCACACTGTGGAAACGAGCATGAGTGCAAGTGCGTGTGCCCCATGCCCCTCCCGGCTGTGCAGATGATGGTGGAGCACCCCAGCTACCCCACCACACGCATTGCCGTGTGGCTGCCGTGCCTCGCCTTCCACTACTCGCCCGCCCGCTACCGCCGCCTCATGCGCGCCCTCCGAGCGCTCTCCCCCGCGCCGCCTCCTGCTGCTGAAGCCGAGGCTGCAGAGGGCGGGGTGGCAGGAGAGGTTGAAGGGGCGGTGGCGGTGCGGCGATGGCAGCAGGCGGACCAGGCGGGGGATGTGTGCCTGCTGCAGTGGACGGTGAGAGATGGAAGGGGGTCTTTGTGTGCTGCAGCCATTTCTATGTGAAGTCGCATCTCATCAACCATTCTTATCCCTGTCCCATCCACTCATCTCGTTGCCTCCCCGTCTCCAATGCTATTCGTCCGTCCTTCTCCCACGCTCTCTTTTGCGCCCCTCTCCCATGCTCATCTCATGGCGCATGGCAGCGCATAGGCAGTGCAGCGGAGTGGGTGCCGTACTGGGCGGCACTGGTGGGGCCCACACTGTACCTGCTGGACCACCCCGAGGCCACCAAGCCACACAAGCAGATAAAGTACGCCAGCCAACTCTCACGCCCCACCCCACCACCCCTCTCCCCCATACTACATGCACTCAACTAATTTTCTGCCGCAAGCTAAAGTGATTCATGCTGATGTGTGCACATACATCCCACCTGCATGCGTGCGCCTGACCATGCCATGCTCCCATGCCCCTCACCCCTCCTCACACACATGGCAGTCTGAGCAGCGCCATGGGGGTGCTGGACGTGCCCCCACAGCACATAGCGGGCTACCACCACGTCATTGCCCTCGCTGCCCGTGGCGCTCAACCTGCCAAGGTGCGTCGCCTCACCACCCATGCTGCTGCACCCCACCACCTCATCTCTGTGCCGCGCTGCACCTCACATGCCCACACATGTGCGCCGCCTCTTCTCTGCTAGGCTTCCCTGCTTTGTGGGTAGGCGTACAACATTGGAACTGCTTTGTTTAATGTTACAGTCCTTTGGTTCTTGTTCCTTTGTGCTTGCCACTTGTTCCTTCTCGTTGGTACTTGCTGCGTTTTGCTTGTGGCCTTGCTTACGGTGTTGTGCTGCCCTGGCATTCACGGGAGCAGGTGGTGCTGTCAGGGCAGGCGGTGGTGCTGCGGCTCAAGTCGGAGGCACTCAAGGCGCACTGGGCTGCACGCCTCACAACCGCACTCTACCACGCCTCTGTGAGTGCCGTGGCGCCCACACCCCCTTCTGCCACTGCTTCACCACCCAGAGCATTGAAAAAGGATGTGAGGCAGGGAAGGTGGGCGCAGTGAGGCACATGCATGGCATGCGCCACTTGAAGTCCTCACTTGCCTCGCCTCCTCCTTCCTTCGTCGCTCTCCTCGCCCACCACGAGTGTGGTTGGCTACCATTGCCGCTCTCTCACGCTCCTATGTCTCGCACATAACTGTGCCCCCACCGCTCTGCCTGCTCGGCCCTGTGCGTGTGCCACACAGGCGCCTGCCTCCATGGACCTCCTCACCAACGATGCCTTCTCCACCGAAGCACCTGATGGAGCACCTGAAGAAGCACCTGGTCAAATGCCGCCCGCCTCACCTGAGCGACAGCTGGCCCCAGGAGAGCCTTTGTCGCCGTCTGTGCGTGCGGCACCGGTAGTGGTGGAGGGGGAGGGCATGGGGGCGGGAGCAGGAGCGGGCGCACAGGAGAAGCCGTTCCTCTACATCATGGGCGCCCTGGACGACCTGCGCCTCGCCATCAGCTCCGTGGTGAGTGATGGCCCTCCCTCCATGACTGCTTGCGTTGCATGAGGCGCTGACGACAAAGTGTGAGGGGATTGAGGCACAGCTGTAAGTAATTACGTATGATATGATGTGTTTGTGAGTCTACTCTCTTCCTGTCCTGGTCACTGCTCCACGCACCACTCTTACTGTCTTCTCCTCTCCCTGCCCACCTCCCTGGCCCACCCTCCCAAACCCTCAGCGGCGCGGGGCGGCGTCGTGGGACGAGGAGGAGAGGATCATCGAGATCCGGGCGGCGGGCGGCAAGGTGGAGGTGCAGCAGCGGTCAGCGGACGTGGCGGTGGGGGTGGGCGTGCGCGAGGTGGAGGTGGAGGACTTCTTCCAGGGCGCTGGCGCCCTCGCCCCCACCTGCCGCCTCATGGCTCGCTCCCTGCTCGCCCCCCACGGCGCTCCCACTGCTGCTGCTGCGGTGCCGCGCAGAGGAGGGGGACGGGAGGGTGGAGAGGAACAGAAGAAGGAGCAGGATGTAGGGGAGGGTTTGCGTGGCGATGGTGGGAGTGGTGGTGGTGAGAGCGGTGGAGGGAGTGGCAGGCACGCGGGTGCAGATGTGGCGCCTGGGGCTGAGCAGGTGGTGCCAGATGTGAGCACAAGGGAGACACCGGAGGGCGCTGAGACAGGGGACGAGGGGATGAAAGAGGAGGGCAAGGAAGGCAAGGAGAGCGAGGAGGGTAAGCAGGGCAAGGAGGAGGATGTGGACAAGGAGGATGAGGAAGAGGATGAGGATGGTTTTGCGGACGCAGAGGCGGAGTTCCTGCTGTCGCCCACATCATCAGGGGCGTCCACGCCACGCCACGGCGCAGCAGCATTCGAGGGCGAGGCGGCGGGGGGGTACGGCGGTGCAGCGGAGTTCTTTGACGCGCGCGACTTCGCTCTGGACGACGGCGACGCCGCCAACGTGCCCAGCTTTGGCCGTGCGGGGCGGCTGTTGCCCGACATGGGGTGGCAGCACGCGGGGACGAGCAAGCAGCGCAAGAGGCAGGGGGAGGGCGAGGAGGAGGAAGGGGGGGCAGGCGGGGAGGAGGAGGAGGAGGAGGGAGACTTTGTGGTGGTGCAGATCGGCATGTACCAGCCGTCGTCGTCCAGCTACACTGGCGTTGACACCCAGGTGCGCCGTGCACTGCTGTGATGCTGATTGTCGTTGCCTTGTCCACACGCTTCTCCCCTCGCCACTCCTCTCGTCCATGCCCTCCCCACCCACCTGTGTAACACTGCTCTTCTTCTCTATGTGCTACTGTGCATGTGCTGCTGTGTATTTATATGCTGTGTGCATGTGGTGTCTGCTGCCCTGTGCGCTGTCTGCTGCCCTGTGCGCTGTCTGCTGCCCTTTCTGCTGCTGTGCAGGTGGCAGTGGAGATGGCAACGCTCGAGTTCTTCTGCAATCGTCTCTCCATCGTCGCTCTCATGGAACTCTCCACCTACCTCTCACCGCCGCCTCTCCCCTCCTCGCCTGCTGACACCACCGCCACAGCCATACAGCCATCCGCAGCTCCTGCTGTGCCTCCCACTGCTGCACTCCCGGCCCCTGCTTTCCCTGCTGCTGATATTAGCAGCCCTGGGATGGGAGGCAGCAGCATCAGGGGAGGGGATGAAGGGCGGAAGGGAGAGGGTGTGGAGGAGAAGGGGGAGCGGGAGGGGCAGATGGGGCGGGAGGCGGTGAAGGGGTTGTTGGGGCGGGGCAAGGCGAGGGTCGTGTTTGGGCTGCACATGGCCATGCAGCACGCGCGCATCTTCCTCAACCTCGAGGACGGCCGCCAGCTCGCCATGCTGGAGCAGGAGAGGCTGAGCGTGCAGGTCAAGGTGAGCAGGAGAGGCTGAGCGTGCAGGTCAAGGTGAGCAGGAGAGGCCGAGCGTGCAGGTCAAGGTGAGCAGGAGAGGCTGAGCGTGCAGGTCAAGGTGAGCAGGAGAGGCTGAGCGTGCTGCTTCTGTCTCTCCCACCATTCACTTTGTTTTCCACCCCTTGCTCTTCTCCTCTTTCTAGCACACGGATTTGCACAACTTTTTTTCTGTGTGTGATGCCTCAATCTCAGGTATTCCCTGCATCGACACGTGTCAACGCCTCGTTGGGCAATCTGAGGCTGTGCAACCTGCAGCTGCCACCATCCCACCCCTGGCGCTGGTTCTGCGACCTGCGCGACAAGCAGAGCGCCTCGCTGGTTGAGGTGAGACAAGCAGAGCGCCTCGCTGGTTGAGGTGAGCCCATCGTGACCTGGGCTGCTGAGTCGATCAATGCTGTCACTTACAGGCGCTATCCTGCCACTCCTCCCCTGCTCCCCCTCCTTTCCCCCCTCCCTTAACCACTGCCTTCCCCTCCCCACCTTGCCACACTCCGTGAATCGTTGCGTGCCCCCGACCCCTTCCCCACGAGCAGATAGAGTACAACTCGTACAACCCCGACGACGACGACTACGAGGGCTACGAGTACAGCATTGATGGCAAGCTGTCCGCCGTGCGCCTCATCTTCCTCTACCGCTTCGTGCAAGAGGTGAGTCACACATGGCCACCTGTCCCAGCAGGTAACAAGTGGCTGCAAGTGCGCTGCGATGTGTAATGTATCACCATTCGCTGCTTGTGCTTTGCATGGCACTCCCCCCTCTTCGCCCCCCACCCCTCCGCCTGCACCTGGCAGGTCATGGCGTCTGAGGGCTAGCAGAAGATGGGGGTGCAGCAGGAGGTGGTGGTGCACGTGGTCTTCTGGCTTAATTCTCAGGAAGTAGCACACTCGGCGAGCAACGGACTCGACTTGCTGCTTTTGCTTTGCATGACGCCCGTCCCCTCCTCCCCCTCCCCCCCCCCCCGGGCAGTTCATGGCGTACTTCTGGGGGCTGGCGGCGCCGGGGGTGAGGCAGGAGATGTTGGTGCGCGTGGTGGACGCGGTGGGCGGCATCGAGCGGCGCATCCAGCAGTGGGAGGTGGCCGGCAGCAGCGGCATCCGCTACAACGTCTCCCTCGATGCGCCCATCCTCATTCTGCCTCGCACCACCGACAGCCAAGAGTCAGTTGCTTGGAGTTGCCACAGACAGCCAAGAGTCTCTCTAGGCTGCTGTCCTGTTTACACCTGCACTAACACTCCGCTCCACACTCTAAGCGCTCGAGGGCCAATACTTCTGGAGCACTTGGGCTATGACTGGCCTTGACTGTGGAAGTTATCACTTCCGAGCGCGTGCTGTGCTGTGCTGTGTGCATTGTTCTGTGCTGTGCTGTGTGCGGTGGCAGGTTCATGCAGCTGGGACTGGGGCACATGGGCATCAGGAGCAGCGTGGAGTGGCGCGGAGGCAAGTCCATTGAGGATGCCGGCGCTGTGCGCTGTGATGTGATTACTGTGGAGGTGAGATGTGATTACAGTGGAGGTGTGATGTGATTACAGTGGAGGTGAGATGTGATTACAGTGGAGGTGATTTTGAATAGAGTGCTTCCATCTCCTCCTTTACCCATCCCATCGTTTCATCATCCCGCATCCTTCTCTGCCATACTTCCCATGTCCCACGCCCCATGCCCCGTGCCTTGTGCCTTCTGCCCCGTGCCCCGTGCTCCTTGCCCCACGCCCCACATCACATGTCGCTTGCCGCATGCATACCCCATTCCCCGTGCCTCATGCCCGCCCCATGCCCCATGCCCCATGTCCCCGGTGCCCAACACCCCCTACCCCTGTTTGGCCGTCTGTGCATCAGAGTCGCGACGTGAGTCTGCTGGTGGGCGCGGAGGGCGTGGCGGGGGCGGCCATGATAGAGCGCATGGCGGGGCTCACACTCACCATCCAGCGCCAACTCAGAGACCTCTTCAAGAAGCTGCCCACCTACCAGTTCCACATCCACGTATGCCCCCCCACCTTCCACTTTGTTTCGTGCTTGCCATGTTGCTCTTCTTCCTTCCTGCAAATGATGCCCTTGTGCAATGCCACACTCCGAACTCGTTTCCGCTTGTTCTACGCACCTCCCACCCTTCCGTCACGCCAATCCCCCGCTTCTCCCCCCACACCCCCCCCCCCCCCTCCCCCCCACGTGCGTGGGAGCAGATGGGCGAGCTGCGCGTGGTGATGAGTCACCGCGAGTACCTCATCATCTGCGACTGCCTCTTCGCCAACCTCGCCGAACCCCCTCAGCCCCCACCCTACTTCCGCCTCCCCCCTCCCTCCTCCTCCTCCGCCTCCTCATCCGCCCAGCCGTCCCTTCCCACTCCTTCCGCCCAAGTCACGAGCCCCACCTCTCCTTCCTCCCCTCGCTCGCCCACGCCTCCATCCTCGCCCCCTCCCACTGCTGTTGTAGCTGGCGGGCAAACAGGCGAGGGCAAGGGTGCGCAGGGGGCACAAGGGGAAGGCGGGCAGGGGAGGGCGGGCGAGGTGGCGAAGGCGGGAGGGGCAGGGGCAGCATTCACGTACTTCAGAGTGCTGGTGGACGTGCAGCACGTGCAGATGGAGCTCTTCACCGGCCACACCCGCGACTCCTCCCTCGCCCTCCTGCAGGTCAGTCACTCCCTCGCCCTGCTGCAGGTGCGTGCCCTCCCTCGCTCTGCAGCAGGTCAGTCGTTCCCTCGCCCTGCTGTAGCAGTGGCAGGCCCTGCTGCAGGTTGTCATGGATACTCCTCTGCCTCTTCTCCCCTCCCCCCCACACACCTGTGCTCAGATCGAGGGCCTGTGGGTGGAGTACCGCACGACCAGTGCGAGGGAGATGGAGGTGATGCTCTCGCTGCCCACCATGGCCATCATCGACCGCCGCGCTGCCACGCGCCAGGAGCTGCGCCTCATGATGGGCTCCGCGCTGCACGCCCACTCCCATGCCCCGCCCGCCCCCCCGGGGCACGGCGCAGTGCCGGCAGGGGCCAAGGCAGAGGGGGCGGCAGAGCAGGGTAGAGGGGGCGAGATGGGGGGAGGGGCACCGCCAGTGGCGCTGAGCATGGTGGTGCTGAACTACTCGACTCGCCCCACTGCGCGCGCCGTGGTGCTGCGCTTCCAGCGCCCACGCGTGCTGGTGGCGCTCGACTTCCTCCTCGCCGTCACCCACTTCTTCTTCCCCTCCCTCGCCGCCTCCTCCGGCAACGACACTGACAGGGACGAGCGCGACGACCCCGCCAGCCTGGCGCACGCTGTGGTGCTGACAAGTGGCACGACGCGACAGGCGGAGGCGGTGGTGACGGTGTCGCCGCAGCGGCAGCTGATAGCGGAGGTGGCGGGGGTGGATGAGTATGAGTATGATGGGTGTGGGGGGGTGCTGCGCCTCCTGCCCTCTGATGCCCAGGGGGGCACAGCGGTGCCGGCGGGCAAGCAGCAGGGCGAGGGAGTGGCGGGCGGGCCGGTGATAGTGGTGGGCAACGGGAAGCACCTGCGGCTCAAGAACATCACTGTGGAGGTGCGCCCCACTCACCCTGCCTCACCTCTCTGCATGCCCACCTCATGCTTGGCCATTCCAGGTCATGGAGGCCTTCACTCACCGCATGTGTTTCCTCATAACGTTCTGCGTCTCTCTTGCCCGGAATCTCTCCACCCTCTCCTCCCCCCCTCCCGTGCCCTTGCACTCCGTGAGCACAGAGTGCGTGGGCGTGGGAGCAGAGTGTGTACCTGGGGTGCGACAGCAGCTTCACTGCCGACCCTGAGGACGGTGTTATCTGGCGCCACACCCCCCTCGCTCCTGGCCCCAATGCTGCTGGGGGCGAGGGCAGCGGGGCAGATGCGGGAGGTGCAGGGGCGGGTGGGGAGGCAGAGGTTCCTCCGGAGCAGACCTCCTTCTCCTTTGACCTTCAGGTGCGCGGACTGTACCTCCAGGTGTGGGTGGGTGTACTGGTGTTACCCTCAGGTGTGGGTGTGACCTCTTTACACCCGCATCCCTCCGCTCAACCCCACTATCAAACATGCCCCTCTTGTTCGAATCCCTTTCCTAACCTTCCCCCCGCCCCTCCCAACCCCCTGGCACCAGGCGGTGGGGCCGGAGCTGACGTTCTACGACAGCACCAAGTGGCCCGCCGGCATCCCCTTCCGCCCCGAGAGGATTCTGCGCGCCTCCTTTGACGTTAGCCTGCTGTGAGTGATGTCAGCCTGCTGTGAGTGACGTCAGCCTGCTGTGAGTGCTGCTCTCACTGCTGCTCACAGGGGTGATCATATCAGCCTGTTGTGAGGTTAGCTGGGCTGGTGTGTGAGGAGGGGGGTGGGGCTTGCCTTGCACGCCATCCACTCCATGCCTCGCAGCCGTGCCCCTCCCCCACTCGTTGCACAGCTGTTAGTGGCTCATCGCTGGACAGCAGCAGCAGCAGCAACAGCAGCGGCCGCTGCTGCTGTGGGACAACTCGCCTCACCTCACTTCCCCACCCCCCCTCCCGCTCCTCGCTGCATGGGCAGGTACGCAGCGAAGGGCATGGACACGTGGGTGAAGGGGACGGTGAGGGGGCTGCTGGTGGAGACAGCGGCGGGGCTGGCGGTGGTGGAGCCGGTGGACGCCCACTGCGAGCGCGAGTGCGTGGCCGGCAAGACCTCCCTCGAGCTCGCCTGCACCGATGTGTCGCTGCGCCTGCCCTTCCACTCTCTGCGCCTGCTGCACCGCCTCCACGCCGACACTGCTGCCGCCCTCAAGCTGGGCGGCGGGCCCGTGGCGGTGCGGTGCCGGCAGTTTGACCGCATCTGGAACTCCGGTGGGTGCCTCCACTCTCGGTAGCCTGAGAGCGCTCGTTCGCCATGTCTCTCTCCGGTGTGGTGCTCTCATCAGCAGTACGCATGGCTTTGCCGCCCTTTGCTGTGCTCTCACCACTCTTGCCCTCCTCCTCGTTGCACCCTGGTCGTGCGCGCTGGTCGTGCACCTCCCATGCACCCCCTGTGCACCCCCCGTGCACTCTCTTCTCTCCTCATGCACCCCCCGTGCTGACAGGCACGGACTCGCAGGAGGGAAGGGCAGGAGGGGAGGGCGAGCAGCCCATCACGCTGTGGCGGCCCTGTGCGCCTGCAGGCTATGCCATCCTGGGCGACTGCGCCACCGTGGGGTGAGACATGTTTTGTTCTAGTTCTCAACACTGACCCCATCATAGCTGATCTGATTTTTCCTCAGTTGTAAAATATTTGGGGCACTCACCACTGCGTGTTGTCCTCATCTGCACTGCTTGTTGCTGTCCCCCCTCTGCTCCTTGTCTCCATGCTGCCCTGCCATCTTCTTTTCTTCTTCACCTCCGCTCCTCTTCTCTTGTATTTCCACCCCACCCACCACCCCCTACGTGTGTGTGTGCCACACATGGCAGGGCGGCGCCGCCAGAGCACGCAGTGCTGGCGGTGAGCACGTCCTTCAGACGAGTCAAGCGCCCCCTCGGCTTCTCCCTGCTCTGGTGCTCCCACGCGCCCGCTGCCGCCGCAGCAGAGGCGGCAGCGCGCGGGGAGGGAGGGGAAGACACGCACTGCCGCATCTGGCTGCCGCTGGCGCCGCCCGGCTATGCTGCGCTGGGATGCGTGGCGGCAGTGGGGCGAGCGCCGCCACACGTGTCCACGGTGCACTGCGTGCGCATCGACCTGCTCACTCCCTCCTCCCTCAGCGACTGCATCTTCTACCGGTGGGTGGGCCCCCTACGTTACCATTGCTGCTGCCATGCTGCCATGCTCATGTACCTACTGTATCATTCCGCTCCGCTTCCGCCTTGTTTTCTGGCCCCCCTTTTTCTCTCCGCTTCCTTCCTTGCGAGCTAGGTAACCCCGTGCTCCCATGCTTATCTCTACCACCATGCTCACCCCTTGCCCCTGCTCCTTGCTTCCCCATCACACGCCTATCAGTCCTGGTGCCGGTTCGCCCACAAGTGAGCCGGGTGGCACGGAGCGGAGTGGCGGCAGGGGGGGAGGGGCGAGCATGTGGGTGGTGGGCAACTCCATGCGCACCTTCTTCGCCTGCCAGGGCACGGCCCCGCCACCACCCGCCGTGCTGAGGGACCTGCGGGAGGATCTGCGCTTCCACCCCGCCACCACCGCACCCGACCCCGACGATGCCGACCCTGAAGCCTCCTCGCACTCCCCCACCTCCACGTCGCTCACCCGCGTGCCTTCCGGGCGCGGAGACTCCCTCGCCCGCCTGCCCTCCTCGCGCTTCCAACCGCCCCTCGCTGCCTCCGCCTCTGCACTCGCCAGTGCGGCGGGGGCGGTGCGGCCATTCGTGCCGGCGGCAAGCTTTGAGCGCGTGTGGTGGAGCAAGGGCGCGGCGGGTGTGACAAGCCACGTGAGCTTCTGGCGGCCCGCGGCAGTGCCGGGCTATGCCATGCTGGGCGACTGTGTGGCGGACGGGTGAGGCAGCAGAGCAGCACACTCTGGCGCTTGCCCTCATGTGCATGCCTGCACGCCGCACTCCCACATGCCATGCATGCACTGGCTCTGCACAGCCACGCCCTGTATGGCCTCACTCTGACCTGACCCCGCACTGCCCTTGCCCTCCTCCCCTCTTGCAGCTTCGACCCACCTGACGCGGGGCTGCTGCTGTTGGACGACCTGGAATCGGGCCGCGTGGCGGCGCCCCTCAGCTTCCTGCACAAGCTCACACTCGCCCAACCCGCCTGGCCCGACGAGGCCTCTGTGTGGTTCCCCTTGGCGCCCCCCGGCTACGTGGCGCTGGGGTGCGTGGTGACGCGCGGCCGCGAGCCCCCCTCTGCAGCGCTGGGTGTGCGCTGCGTGCGAGCTGACCTGCTGGCGCCCAAGGGCTTTGCTGGCCGGCCTGCATGGACTGTTGGTGTGCCGCCCAAAGGAGAGTCCATCGCCAGCTTCTGGCCCGTCATCAACCAGGTGGGGCCGTGGGAGTGGGGCGGTGGGAGTGGGGCGGTGGGAGTGGGGCGGTGGGAGCGGGGGCGGAAGGAGTGGGGGTGGAGGGAGGGCGGGTGGAGGGAGTGGGGGTGGAGGGAGTGGGGGTGGAGGGAGTGGGGGTGGAGGGAGTGGGTAAAACTTGTCCTGAGAGTGCATTCTTGATTCTTGAGTGCCGCTTTTCCCACTAATGCAGTGTTGCATGTTTAACTTTGCCCTTGGCCTTGTGCCTTGCCCTGCTGCTCTCATGCCATGTGCCATCCCCATTTCCCTCCCTCTGTGCACCCCCCCACACACACGCCTGCCCTGAAACCTAACCCTATGGCAGGCGGGCACGTTTCTGGTGCACAGCGATGCGCGGCGGCCGCCACAGCGGATGGGGTATGGGCTGGCGGAGCTGGAGAGGCCGGAGCGGCCCGACAACTTTGATGCCAACCTGCGCACGCCCCGCGTCTCCCTCACCCTCTTCGACGACGTCTCCGGCGTCGTGAGCCCAACGCCTCTCCCTGCCCCCGCTGCCCCTCCTCGCCCCTCCCTGCCCCTCCCTCCCCCTCCCTGCCCATCGTCTCCCCTCACAATCCTTGCAGTTTGACTCCCTTATTCCTGCTTGCCATTTCACACTAAGCACGTGCCGCCAATGGTCGTCCTGAATTTCCTGCTTTCCATGTCTGCCTGCGCTCCTTCCAACGTGCGCTGTCCCCCCTGCCATGGCGGGCTTGCGTTCATGGGGCATGGGGCATGGGGCATGGGGCATGGGGCATGGGGCATGGGGCACACAGATGGTGCCATGGGTGGATGTGACGGTGGAGGGCATACACCTGACGCTGCACGGCCGCCCGCACGCACTCAACGCCGTGGTGCTCACATCAGTGGCCGCCTCGTCCTTCAACTCGCACCTCGCCCTCTGGGAGCCGCTGCTCGAACCCTTCGACTCCATCTTCAAGTATCCCCCCTCCCCGCCCTCCCACTGCCACCGCTCCTCTTCTGCTGCTCAACTTGCCACCAATCTTGCTGTGCTGTCTTCCTTCGTGCCGCCATCCGTTTGCCATGCCCTTTCTTAGCCACCGCATGCAGCATGCCTGTCAAGGTGGGGTGGCGCCACACAGCGGCAGTGGCAGGCAGGTGGCTGTGCTCAGAAGTGCCCCATGTGCATGCCACCCGGCCTGGCAGGTACGAGTGGGAGGGCGAGGGCAGCGAGGAGGCGGGGGCAGCGGGCAGTGTGCAGATGCGGGTGACGGCGACGAGTGTGGTGAACGTGAATGTGACGGCCACCAGTGTGGACGCCCTCACAGCCGCCACTCATGGGTGGAGCAAGCTCGTGCAGCACGAGGCCAACACCAGGCGCGCCCTGCTGCAGGTCAGGCACGCCTGGGCTGTGTGCGTGCAGCCATACGTGTGTGTGTGTGTGTGTGTGTGTGTGTGTGTGTGTGTGTGTGTGTGTGTGTGTGTGTCTGTGCGTGTGTGCGTGTGTGTGTGTGTGTGTGTGTGTGTGTGCGCGCGCGCGCGCGCACGCATGTGTGCATGCAGCTGTCTGCGTAAAAAGATGACATCACTCAATTCAAATACCCCCTGCGCGTCTCCGTTTTTCACTTCACTTCTCTCCTTCACATGTTCACCTCAGGGAGCATCACCAGCAGCAGCAGCAGCGGCAGCAGAAGGGGAAGGAGGGAGGAAGGAGGGAGGGGAGGAGGGGGGCGTGGCAGTGGACAGGGAGGACGCCCTACGAGTGCTCGTGGACAACCGCCTGGGCGCGCCTCTCTACGCGCGCTCCGCCAAGGACGCCTTTGCCCATCTCTACACGCTGCCGCCCGCCCACACGTCGTCCGTGCCGCTGCCGCCCTTCCAGTTCCCTGACATGCTGCGCCCCTCCGCCGTTGCTGGTGTGGGCGGCAAGCGTCGGCACAGCACTCGGCGCTTCATGGCTCTTCGCCTCATTGAGGGGCTGGTGAGGCGCACTGGGGGGGCTGATGGGGCGGGCTGGGGGGGGCTGGGGAGGCGGGCTGGAGCGGCTGGTGGGGCTGGTGAGGCGTATGGGAGGGTTTGGTGAAACGTGGTGGGATAAGGTACGGGGTTAGGGCTGGGTTGGTGAGTCTACATGGAGGGTATGGAAATATGGAGATGCTGGATGGAAGTGCGTATGGGGCCCCGGCCTGGTGGCGGGTTGCTCACACACTCACTCGCCACGTTCCTCTTGCCCTGGTCCGTCCTGCCCCACCAGGCTCTCCCCCCTCGTCCTTACAGCCACCATGCGCACCTGCCACCCTTATGTGCCACCTAATGCCTGTGTGAGTGCAGGGCCTACCGGGCAGCGAGCTGAACGGGGAGGACTTCATCTGCAAGCTGCGCGTGGCGGAGGCAGGCGCGCAGCCGCTGGCCAAGGGGCAGCAGCTGCCGCAGACGGCTCGGTCGCGCGCCATCCGCCCTGCAGGGGGGCTGGCATGCCCGCATGCGCGCGAGGGCATGGGGTGTGCCATGCCACGCGGAGGGGCGGGAGAAGGGGGAGAGGGCGGGAGAGCAAAGCTGTGGCGAGTGCAGTGGAACGAGGTGTTCGTGTTCGAAGTGCCGGCCCAGGTAAGTGTCTCGGCTTACACGTGCATGACTGCACGCGTGCTTGTAACTCCAAGCTAACTTTCCGTGTGTGCATATTCTCATGGAACGTGTGTGCTAACCCTCCCCTGTCCTGGCCACCTGTGTGCATGTTGCCGTGCACTCACCTCTCCCTGCATGCTGCTGTGTGCCGTGTGTGCTGCCCTCCTCCACCTTGTGCTGACGGGCATGGCATGGCATGGCATGGCATGGCATGGCATGGTGTGGGTGGGCGGGTGCATGGATGGGGTGGGAGCAGAAGGAGTCGCGGCTGGAGGTGGTGGTGAGCAACCAGGCGGCCAACGCGGGGCGAGGGGCCACAGTGGGCACGGCGGCTGTGCCCATGACTGCCGCTGCTGCACCCACCCTCTCCGACTGGGCTGCTGTCACCGACGCCCTCGGCATTGGCGGCCTCTCCCCCGCCTCCCAAGCCACCCAGCACACCCTTGTGCTGCAGCCGCCCAAGAGGAAGCAGCAGCAGCAGCAGCAACAGCAACAGCAGCAGCAGGTATGATATTAGGGTTCTGAGTCTAGGCCACATTGGATTGTCATCTGACTTGTCCTCACCTGCCGTTTCCCTCTCCACCTGCCACCACCCCGCCCGCCACCTGTTGCTGCCCGTGCACACACAGGCCTCGCCTCGCCTGCGCATTGCAGCCGTCTTCTTCACAGTGGGCCCCAGCGGCCATCTGCTGGCCCACCAGCAGCAGCAAGAGCAGGCGGTGGCAGAGGCCAGCCAGGAACAGCCAGACTGTTTGATCCAGCTGGCGTGCCGCCCGGACGGCGAGTGGTGTTGGGTGCGCTCCATGGCGGGTATCATGACGCTGGCGCTCGCCCTGGAGGGCCGGCCAGTGGCGGCGGAGCTGGGCGTGCAGGGGGGCCTCAAGTGCGTCACGCTGCGCTCGCTGGTGCTGCTGCGCAACGCCACGGACGTGCCGGTGGACGTGTGTGTGTGCCCCTTCGTGCTGCTCGACTTTGCGGATGAGGATGCGGAGGAGGAGGTGGAGGAGGAGATGTATGAGAACCAGCGGTACCAGCCCATGCTGGGGTGGGGCTCGCTGTGGCCCGGCCACTTCATGCCCGGCGACCCGGCGCGCTTCTCAGCGCTGGACCTCTCCCACGCGTGCCAGGACCTGCCCGAGGTATGTCCACGCGGGTGGGCGTGGGTGGGAGCGTGGCAGCGCGACCAGGCAGCACCCGGCGATGTGGAGGGGTGGCTGTATGCGCCCGACTTCCGCTCGCTGGCGTCGCCCGATGCGCTGGCGAACGTGGCGCAGAGCAAGGGCCCCTTTGACTTTGTGCGCCGCCGCCGCTTCTCGCGCACGCGGCGCCGCCTGCCACGCCCGTCGGGTGCGCCCAAGGAGCACGTGCGCACGACCCTGGGGACACTGGCTCCTGGGGATTCCCTGTCGCTTCCCTGGGGCTGCCTCTCCCCTGGCTCCGACTGGTGCCTGCAGGTTCGGCCCAAGGCTGCTGCAGGCTCGGCAGGCAGCAGCAAAGGAAGTGAGAAGTACGGGTGGAGCAGGCTGGTGCCTGGAGCGTCGGGTAGCGGTGGAGAGGGCAGTGCCGGGGCGGGCAGCAGGGCGGAGGCGGCACGGCGGCAGCAGCTGGCGACGGCGTTTGTGCTGCCGGACCTGATGAGGGCGGCGTCGTGGGAGAAGGGCGGCAAGCGCGAGGAGCTGCTGCAGTGCCGTGGCACCCGCGGGTGCTGGTGGTTCTGCCTGGAGGCGGACGGCGTGAAGCTGCAGGGCGGGGAGGGCGTGGGGGCAGCAGGGGTGGTGGACTGGCGGGTGACGCTGCGGGCGCCACTGCAGCTGGAGAACCGGCTGCCGTGCAGCGCGGAGTACTTCGTGTGGGAGAAGCCCAGCAGCAGCGCAGCCCAGGGAGCGGGCAGCATGGTGGGCGTGGGGGGCGCGTCGCGGTCGGTGGCTCGGCAACATGGCGTGGTGGGGCCAGGCGAGGCGGTGCATGCGTACAGCATTGACATCCGCTGCCCCGTGCTGCTCTCCTGGCTGCCTCAGGGCGGCTGGAAGCAGGAGAAGGTGAGTGCAGTGCCACAGCCCTTGCTGCCCATTAGTTCCTCTTCTTGTGCTCTTTGGGTCGCACTCCGCCTGCAACCCGCTTTGTTTGTCACTCAACCCACATGCTGCACACACTTCCTCCCATCCCCCCCCTCTGAGTGCACAGGACGCGGTGCTGCTGTGGGACGCGCTCACCCACGAGGTGCCGGGGGGCTTCTGGATGACCAACGTGCAGAACAAACGGTGAGTGGAGGAGGGGGAATGCAGAGCAAGCTATGAGAGGTGGGGCATGCAGAGCAAGTAAAGGGAGGAGGGGGGAAGGCATATAGGTGAGGTGTGCTTGAGAGGTAGAATGGCACACAGACGATGTGTCCATTTCATTGCACCTTGCAGCTTGCGGCTTGCAGCGGGCTCATTCGCTGCACCGAGCCACCTGTGCCCTCCTCCCCCCCACCCTGCAGGCGGCTGCACGTGAATCTGGAGGTGAGTGGCGGGGCATCAGAGGCATCAGCGCGGGTGGTGCGGGTGTTCGTGCCCTTCTGGCTCGCCAACCACTCCTCCATGCCCCTCGCCTGCCGCATCGTTGAGATCGAGCCGCCTCCGGGCGCCACGGCAGCAGCGGCGGCGGCAGTGGAGTCGCTGTGGCAGATACCCACGCGCTCGCTCTCCTCGCGCGCGCTCAGCCTATCCGCCTCCGCCAGCACGCGCCAGGCCGTGGCGGCAGCGGTGGCGCCGGCAGTGGGGGCGGTGGGGGCGAGCAAGGTGGTGCGCAGCCTGGAGGACATCGAGGAGGCGCCGCAGCAGCAGGCCGTGATGCTGTCGCTGCCCTCCGTGGCCAACGTGGGGCTGGCTGTGGCGCTCTCCAAGGGGGGCGTCTTCAGCTCCGCCATCCCCCTCACCGCCTTCCAGGACAAGGTGCCCTCACCCTCTCCCATGTCACACAGAAAACAATTTCGACAAGTGGTGTGTCTGAGGGTGGTCTGTGAATGTTCTTGCTCAAGTGGTGCCTGCGTGGCTACTCCCTCAATGACTTCCCTCTCAACGCCGTATGCGTGTCCTCCCGGGGGGGGTGGCGGGAGCAGATGGAGCGGGCGGACCTCAAGGCGGTGGATGCCGCAGGCAGCTATCTGCGCCTCTCGCTGTCCCTCGACATGTCCTCGCTGCGCTACGAAGGCACCAAGGTACCGCGCCCCTCTCACCCCACCCGCTTCACGTGCACCACTTGCCTCTCTGCATGCCTCTCCACCTCGCTGCACTCACCTCCTCCTCCACACAAAACACTTGCTCTCACGCTCCACCAATTTATGACTGCGTGCATCACCGTGCTTCCCCATGCGCGCGCGCGCGCGTGTGTGTGTGTGTGTGGCTGGTGCCGGCCGGCAGGTGATTCGCCTGCAGCCGCACACGGTGTTCTCCAACCACACGGGGCGGCCGCTGCACATCAGACAGGCGGGCGGCAACATCGTCCGACACCTGGCGCCTGCTGATTCGATGAAGCCCATCGTGTGGGAGTCCATCTGGCTGGCTGAACATTTGCAGGTGGGTGCCACGGTGGCAGGTGGGTGCCATGTGGACGGTTGGGTGTTGCGTGGGCAGTGTGATATTCGGATTCTACAACGTGCCATAAGACATCAATGCAACATGGTTCATGGATCCCCTCCACCTTCCTTGTGCCCTCGTGTGCCACTACCATCCTCAGGTGCGCATCGACGGCTGTGATTGGAGCCGCCCATTCTCCATCGACGGCGACGGCAGTGTCTTCGTTGTCATGCGCCATGCCGTGCAACCCAGCCGCCCACCCTCCATAGGCCGGGCGGAGTGGGACGGCAGTGGGCGGCGGGGGCGGGAGCTGCTGCTGGCGGATGTGGTGGATGGCGCCAGTGCATGCCGCTACCATGTCGTCTTCACACTCGCTCCACCCTATGGGCCCTACAAGTCAGTGCTCCCCTGCATGGGCCTTGCATCTCATCTCAGTTCGAGTGCAGGTGTAAAATGAAGTGTAGCCCTCATTTAGGTTTGCTGGAATGGTTAAAGTTACTGTTTGTGCAACTATTAGTTAAGCTATATCCCTGTATCCACGACACACTTTCTACCAATCATCACCCCCTTTCTGCCCTCTCCCCATGTCTCCCCTTCCCATCTCAGGATAGAGAACCGCTCGCAGCTGTTTCCGGTGCGGTACCGGCAGGCGGGGGCGGGGGACGAGGCGTGGGAGGCGCTGGCGGTGGGGGCGGCCAAGTCGTTTGCGTGGGAGGACGGGCGCGGGCTGCGCCTGCTGGAGCTCATGGTGGACGGCGCGCACTCCTCCACGGCGCGCCGCGTCGCCATTGACGACCCCGCTGTTCTTGAGCCCGCCACCAACGCATCTGGCCGCCCCGTGGCGCCGCTGCTCGTCACCGTGGCCCGAGAGCCCGCACCGTCGGGAGGCGGGTGCGTGATGCGCGTGTGCCTGCACGACTGGCGCCCCTCCGATCCCTCCCTCGTGCACCTCGCCCTCTCCCTCACGCCCTCTTCCCTCCTCACCGCCGCTCCCCCCGCCCACACCGCGGGGAGCGAGGGGGCCAGCGCGGTGGCGACAGCAGAGGGGGCGGGGGGCGGAGGGGAGCGGCGGGTGGTGGTGGTGGTGGAGGTGGAGGAGTGTGGCGTGTCGGTGGTGGACGCCACGCCCGAGGAGCTGCTCTACATCTCCATGACTGGCGCCCTCCTCTCCCTCGACTCCACCGCGCCCTCCTCTGCGCGCCCAGGCACCTCGGGGGGGAGTGGGTCGGGAGGGGTGAGCCGGGTGAAGCTGCAGGTGGGGCACCTGCAGATTGACAACCAGCTGGCCGTGACGGCCATGCCTGTGTTGCTGGCACCTGAGGATCCACCTGGGGTGGTGCAGCCGTACGTGCTCAAGCTCACTGTGGCAATGCGCCCGGCACGGGACGAGGATGAGCAGTCCTTCCCCTACATCGGCCTGCAGGTACCGCCTCCCCACCTCACACACGCCTCCATACCATCATCTTCTGCGCTCTCTTCCTAACCTCTCGCATTGCCCCTTCCCACGCCCCGTTTTGCCGGTTGAAGCCCCAAACTAAACCAAGAATGTGGTAACCCCCCTCCCTCCCCCCCTCCCCCCCCTCTGCCAGCTGCCGAGTGCCGCCTGGCTGGTGAACATCCACGAGCCAATCATCTGGCGTCTGGCCGACATGGTCAAGCGCCTCTCCGCCCACCGCCTCGACGCCCCCACGCAACCCACCTCCGTCTCCCTCGACCCGCGCGTGCACGTGGGGTGAGAGCAGCGCACATGTTGGGTATTCACGCCCCACATCGGTCACGTCTCACACGTGCTTGGAACACTGGATAAGAAATCAAACTACCAGATCAGTTCTGGCACACCGCCAGATCAGTTTTGCAGCATGCAGTGAAGAAAGGTGTTCCCACTGGAAGTCTGATTCTGATTGAATTTTCATTCTGCTTGCTGCATTCCACACCGCCTCACCCACACCCGCCCCCCTGTGCATGCGCGTGCATGGGCAGGCTGCTGAACATATCGGAGGGGCGGCTGAAGCTGACGATGGCCATGTCCCCGCTGCACCGCCCGCGCTACATGATGGGCTTCTGGACGTCCGTGCTCACCTCCATGGGCAACACCGATGAGATGCCGGTGAGCCTGCATGGGCAACACCGATGAGATGCCGGTGAGCCTCCATGGGCAACACCGATGAGATGCCGGTGAGCGTCACACTGCCACCCACATGCCGGTGAGAGTATGGGAGTGACATGCAGATGAGATGGCATGGCTACGGCGGCTCTCAGGCCATAGTGTTTTCACAATTCTTGTCACCCCCTTCAGTGCACCCTCGCTCTTCTCACTCACCCTCCCTCGCATGAAACCCCAACACGTGTATCCCCCTGCCTCCCCACCTTGTGCTGGTCAGATCCGCCTGTCCCCGCGGGTGCGCGAGGGGGTGGTGTTGCGGCGCAGCCAGGTGTGGGCGGAGGCGGGGCGCAGTGTGAGCAACGACCTGCTGGCGCAGCCGTTCCGCCTGCTGTCGGGGCTGGACGTGCTGGGCAACGCCAGCAGCGTCGTGGGGCAGGTCAGCAAGGCCGTGGCCGGCATGAGCATGGACCGCGCCTTCATCCGCGCGCGCCACAAGCACGACGCCAAGGCCGCCGTCGGCTCGCTGGGCGACGGGCTGCGCGAGGGCGGGGAGGCGCTGGCCAAGGGGCTGTTCCGCGGGGTCACGGGCATCCTCACCAAGCCCATTGAGGGCGCGCGCGACGGCGGCGTGGAGGGCTTTGTGGCGGGCATGGGGCGCGGGCTGATCGGCGCGGCGGCGCAGCCGGTGAGCGGCGTGCTGGACCTGGTGAGCAAGACCACGGACGGCGTCAACGCGGAGCGCGCACGCCTCTCCGCCGCCATGACCGCCAAGCTCGCTCTGCGGCGCCGCCGCCTGCCGCGTGCCATCCGCGGCGACCACGTGGTGCGGCCGTACGACGAGTACGCGGCGAGGGGGCAGACCATCCTGCAGCTGGCGGAGTGGGGCGCGCTGGCGGGCGCGAGCGTGTTTGACATCCGCGAGAAGGGCAAGTTCGCCCTGAGCGACGCCTATGAGGACCACTTCCACCTGCCGGCGCGGCGCATCCTCATGATCACCCACCAGCGCACCATGCTGCTCGAGGTAAGTGGCGGGAGAGGGGGGGTTTGGGGGGAAAGGGGGAGGGGTGGGAGGGAGGACGGAGGGAGCTGGTGTTCGTTAGGTGCACGGAGGGGGGAGAGGGGCGAGATGGCTTAAGGGGGGAGCGGGTGTTTGTTATGGGTGCACGAGGTGGGTTGTAACAATCTGTTAAGGCACAATGGTCAAAGGGGTTAAATCATGTGATATTTGAAGGGGCACATGGCGTGAAAGGTCTTGGTGGCAAGGGATCACAGGGCTGAGTGCTTCGTGGGAACTCTCATCCAACATGTGCTGTGCTCCCCTCCCTCTGCCCTCGCGTGTGCGCGTGCCACAGCAACCGGGCGGCGGAGCGCTGGCAGGGGGGCGCAAGCCGGACCTGACTCGGGAGGCGTGCAGCATCGTGTGGGCGGTGGCGTGGGGCGACCTGCTGTCTCTGGAGGTCATGCGCGGCCGCGATGAGTCGCCCTCCGCCCCGCCGTCACGCGTGGTGCTGCACCTTCGGGAGTGGTCGGCGGACGTGCGGCTGCTGGACGCCAAGGAGATCGCCCGTGTGGTGCTGTGCCAGGCGGGCACGGAGCAGGCGCAGCAAGTGCGAGACGCCATCCAGCGCGCCCTCGACCAGTTCGGCCCCGATCGGGCCACCGTCGCTGCTCAGGTGCCATTGCTGTGCCTGCTCAGGTGCCATTGCTGTGCCTAATTATACAGCCAGTGAGTCAACTCGGTGTGAGCTTCTCAATCCCTCGCCCCCCCATCCCCTTCTCGGCTCTCCCAGACACGCAAGCGGCGGCAGGAGAGTCGGCCGTACACGGGGGCGGGGGCGGGGGCGGCGTCTGGGGCGGCGTTGGGGCTGCTGGCGGGGCCAGCTGCGCCGGTGGTGGTGCCGGTGATGGCGACGTTTGGAGCGCTGGTGGGCGGCGCGGGGCAGGTGATGCTGGAGGCCGACAGCCATGGCGACCTCGCCTCCCCCTCCTCCCGCCACCGCCCCTCCCTCGCTGCTCCTGCCTCCGGCCCCGCTCGGCCGCGTGCCATGACGGGCAGAGGCAGCTCCGGGGACGTGGCAGGGGCGGACGTGAACGGGCCGCCTGCCATTGTGGTGAAGGCATTCAAGCTGATGTGGTGGGACAAGGTGAGAGGCATTCAAGCTCATGTGGTGGGACAAGGTGAGAGGCATTCAAGGTGATGTGGTGGGACAAGGTGAGAGGCATTCAAGCTCATGTGGTGGGACAAGGTGAGAGGCATTCAAGCTGAAGGTGGCAGCAGGGCGTGCATGTGTGTGAACTGATGTGGTTGCCCCCCTCCTTGACCCCCCCCTTCCCCGCCCCCATGGTGCAGGGAGCGGTGTGGAGCCAGAAGTTCCCCGTCTCCATCTGGCGCCCCATCCTGTGCCCAGGGTGAGTGAGGCCACCACTGGTGGGAGGTGGGGTCAGTGCGAGCAGCATGGTGGGATGAGTGCGAGCAGCACGGCGGGATGAATGCGGTGGGATGAGTGAGAGCAGCAGCGGCTAGAGAAATTTCCGAGCTTTTCTGACAGTAACCTTGAGTCGCTTGTCACTTGTTGTGTCTATGCTGCCTTCCTTGCTCATCCTCCCTCGTGCTACCTCTGCCCTCTCTCTCAACATTGCCTGCTTCTGACCTAATCCTTCTGCCCCCAAGCTTCTCCTTGCCCCTTTTGCTGCGCTGCGCCACGGCAGGTATGTGTCGGTGGGGGACGTGGCAACACCAGGGTACGACCAGCCGGTGAGGAGCACCGTCTATCTCGACACCGGCGCCGGCAAGTTCGCTCCGCCTCTCGGCTTCGATCTGGTCAGCCATCTCTCCCCTCTCCGCTCTCCGCTCTCCTCTCTCCGCTCTCCGCTCTCCTCTCTCCTCTCTCCGCTCTCCTCTCTCCGCTCTCCTCTCTCCGCAACCCTCTGCCGCAACCCTTTCCTCCCCACGCTGCCTCCACCCCCTGCTACGCGACAAACAAGGTCAGCCACGTCACCTCCCCTGTAACTTACGCCCCCCTCCTTCCCCCCCCCACCCCTCGTGTGCTTGCTGGCAGGTGTGGCGGGACACGGACAGCGGGGCGTGTACGCCGGTGACAATCTGGGCGCCGAGGGCGCCGGAGGGATATGTGGCGGTGGGGTGCGTGGCGGTGCCCGACTACTATGAGCCCGACCGCAGCGCCGTGGCGTGCGTGGCGGCGGGCGCAGTGGGCGCGGCGGAGCTGGGGCGGCTGCCCATATGGCGCGACCGCAAGGGCGCAGCGCTGTGGAAGTGCAGCCTGTGGCAGGTGCACAACGCCGCACACACCTTCCTGGCACGGCGCGACCATGAGAGCCCACCACCAGGCATGGCCTTTGATGTGAAGGTGGAGGACACACACACAGATGCACGCAGTGCCACCTTCGTGCACACAGGGTAGATGCTCACACGCATGATCTGTCCACATCTAAGCTCCTCACAATAGGTGAAACCATTTAGGTGCATTCCACAAACGCTGTATCCTAATCCGAGCTGTCAAAACGCATGAACTATAGAACTGCAGTGCAGTCATTATAAATGTGAGTTTGAAAAAGTCATGCTTCCTGAATAATGATGTACGGTAACATGGCCCAATTTCTTATGTTGGCCAGTAGTAGATACTAAGGTAGTAGACCACATATGACCTTTTACGGTATGTGCGTACATGTTCGATTCGAGCAATGGTATCCAAATGTACGTAGTGTTAGAACAGGCCCTCAGATTGGTTTCAGGGTACCTTGACCCATCAGAGCTGTACCTTAAAGCCCGAGGTGAGCATGGTAAATTCTCAAATCTCTCAAATTATGTGGATCGAAAAATGATATACCATAGTGTTATTGAAGCAGAAGACATAATCTAGTGGACTGGCAAAAATAAGGTACTAACTGCATCTTTACAAACATAAGTAATGCGTTTGTCAGCTTGGTCGGTATCAGGCCCTACGATATCAGGAAATTTCCCCTGAAATTCCTGTTTTTCAGCCTACCGTAGTTTTGTGTACCTACACTGATTTTCCAGTGTTGAGATTTTTGTGACACTGATTTTTCAGCCTTTATTTCATAGCTAACACTGATTTTTCAGTATTTTATCGAAGTGTACACTGAATGCACATTTCGAATCCTTCCTGTAAACCACCAGAAAGATTCGGTTAACCAACATTTGCACAATGTAGGTTGAAGATGCCTAAGACACATGGCTGACCAAGTGAACTGTCTCAGTGGTTAGGGAAATCATACCGAATGGTAACTTTCCGGTTCGAATCCCTCGGCTCTCATGTTTCTTAAAAAATACTTTCAAATACAAAATCATAATGTGATCAGGCCCCAAATTTCAAGGGTATTTTACCCTTTTTGCCCTGATGGTAGGCCACTTTTCGGCAGTTACCCTTTTGAAATCAGAGTATGGAGATTTTTACCCTAGTGAAATCAGGATACGTTCTAAAGTACTCTTGTAGGATTTTTTGTTACACTGACTGTATCAGGGTAGGGGCTCAACTACCCTTTTACCGAATCTCTGTTTTACCGAGGATTCCGCCACAGTACGCGCCAAGACATAATGCACCACGGTCCCACTGGACCATGTTGTCAAACATTATATGTTTATATTGTGTAGGCTATAGTGGGTTTAGCCTTAGGGGGTACAACTTTGCTAGGGTTTCCTACTTGTATCCCCATCATTCCTAGTTTCATCATTCTCGTTCACATCTAGATTCTAACATGGTATCCGACGCCTAGGTCAGGACCTAGGACCGACGTTGGTTTGGGCCCACCGTTCCACCGCGCCGTCGAGCGCCCCTTCTCGCGCCGTCGAGCGCCCCTTCTTGCGCCGTCGAGCGCCCCTCCTAGCGCCGTCGAGCGCCCCCTCTAGCGCCGTCGAGCGCCCCTACTAGCGCCTTCGTGCGCCCTAGTGGCCGCCGCCCGTAGGCTGCCCGTCGTCCGTAGGCAGCCCGTAGGCAGCCCAGTGGCGGCCCGTACGCCGCCCGTAGGCCGCTCGCGCGCAGGCCGTAACCCGCGCGCCGCGGCTGCTGCACGCCGGCGCCTGCAGCCCGCCGGAACCCGTGCGCGTCGCCCCCTGCCTCTTCGCGACGCCCTTACGGGACCCGCGCGTCGCCCCCGCCTCTTCGCGGCGCCTCTGCGGGACCCGCACTTCCCCCCCCCCCTGCCTCGTCGCGACGACCCTGCGGGACCCGCGCGTCGCCCCCGCCTCGTCGCGACGCAGCTGCGGGACCCGCGCGTCGCCCCCGCCTCGTCGCGACGCAGCTGCGGGACCCGCGCGTCGCCCCCGCCTCGTCGCGACGCAGCTGCGGGACTCGCGCGCGTCGCCCCTGCCTCGTCGCGTCGCCCCCGCGCGACCCGCGCGTCGCCCCTGCTCACCGTGGCGCCCTGCCCTACCCCGCGCCCGCCCTTGGGACGGCCGCCCCTGGCCCCTAGAGCAGCCGCACCTACAGCAGCCGCCCCTGGCCTCTGGAGCAGCTGCACCTACAGCCGCCCCTGGACCCTGGAGCAGCCGCCCCTGCAGCAGCCGCCCCTGCAGCAGCCGCCCCTGCAGCAGCCGCCCCTGGCCACCTGGAGCAGCCACCACAGCAGGAGCCGCCCCTGGACCCTGGAGCAGCCGCCCCTGCAGCAGCCGCCCCTGGCCCCTGGAGCAGCCGCCACTGCAAGAGCCGCCCCTGGCCCCTGGAGCAGCCGCCCCTGGCCCTTGGAGCAGCCGCCACTGCAAGAGCCACCCTTGGCCCTTGGAGCAGCCGCCCCTGCAGCAGCCGCCCCTGGCCCCTGGAGCAGCTGCCGTCGCGGCCCGGCCCCGCCCTGCAGCAGCTGCCGCGGAGCTGCCTGCCGCGGCCCGGCCCCGCCCTGCAGTTCGGCCCCGCTGTCGCCACCGTCTTGCGCCTGCCGCGCCGACCACTGGTGAGCATTGCCCTGCCCGCACTGCTACCGCTGCTACTGCTGCTACTGCCTTTACTACTCCCACTGCTACTGCTCCTGCTGTTACTGCTGTTACTGCCGCTACTGCTGCTACTGCTGCTCCTGGCGTGGCCAGATGCAACTCCAGGGCCATGCGCGTGAGTCCCTCACGCCCCAGCAGCTTCGTGAGTGGTACGCTAGTTGGGGCTGTCGGGGTGGCCGTAGTGGTAGTCGCTCTGGAGTGGGTCGTTCGGGAGCTTCTGGTAATGGACAGGTGCAGCTGCCGTGTCCTCTTTCGCCCCAGCAGCTCCGTGAGTGGTACGCTCAGAGTAGAGGGTCACTGAGTACTTCTCGCTGCCCGTACGTCATTCGCACAGGTGTCCGGACTGGTCAGCCTTGCGGGACCCGTGGCCACACAGAGTCCCACTGCTTCGCCCGTCTGGGCGACGCTTGGCGTACAGAGTTTGGCGACGCCGCTGAGCTCCCCTCCTGGGTGGAGCTGCTTAGGCAGAGGGTAGATATCTTTGCTCTTGACTCTGATGCTATCCTCACTGCCATGTATGCATTGTCTACTAGTACTGAGAGTGCCTGTCCCCTGTGTGTACCGCCTGACCCCGGTATCGAGTCTGCTGCTCTAGGTACTGGTGTGGCTGCCGCTCTAGGTGCTAGTGCGTCTGCTGCCCTAGGTCCTCGTGAGGCTGCTGCTCTAGGTGCTGGTGAGTCTGCTGCCCCAGGTACTCGTGCGTTTGCACCTGCTGGTACTGCGTCTACTGCGGCACTGCACACCTTCACACTGGACTCCGGTGCTTCCCGCTGTTTCTTTCGTGACCGCACGGCCCTTGAGCAGCTTGCTCGGCCGGTTGCAGTCTCCCTTGCTGACCCCTCTGGGGGTCCGGTCCTTGCGACCTCCTCCACTGTCCTCCCTTGTCCTGCGGTCCCGTCGGGCACACTGTCAGGTCTCTACCTCCCCTCGTTCTCTACGAACTTGGTGGCGGGTAGTGCGCTCCAGGACGGGGGTGTCCACCAGTTCACCCCTGCCTACGAGCGCGTGACACACTGCACGTGTGCTCGGACGGGCCGTCACCTGGCTACCTTCACTCGGCAGCCGGGGTCGGACTTGTACACACTGACCACTGAGTCCCCTCAGGTAGCAGCGTCTGCGTCTGCGTCCGGTCAGCTGTCGGCCCGCTGCTCGTGTCGCTCTCTAGCGCACGAGACCGTCCTCTGGCACCACCGAATTGGTCACCCGTCCGTGCAGCGCCTTCGTGCCATGCACAAACGATACCTTGTCTCTGGTCTTCCCAGGGTTCTCCCTCCCCTCCCACCCTCGCCTGCTCCTCCCTGTCTTCCCTGTGTCGAGGGGCGGCAGTGCGCCGCTCCTCACTCCTCCTCGTTTCCCCCGACGACTGCTCCCTTGCAGACGCTCCACATGGACGTGTGGGGCCCAGCCCGCGTCCGTGGTCAGGGTCAGGAGAGGTACTTCCTGATAGTTGTTGACGACTACTCGCGCTACACCACGGTCTTCCCCTTGCGCACCAAGGGTGAGGTCCCTGATGTTTTGATCCCTTGGATCCGCGCTTCTCGTCTCCAGCTCAGCGAGCGTTTCCACTCGGACTTTCCTGTCCTGCGCTTGCACTCTGACAGAGGTGGTGAGTTCTCCTCCGACCTCTTGGCAGCCTACTGTGCGGAGCACGGCATCCGCCAGTCGTTCACGCTTCCGGCCTCTCCACAGCAGAATGGGGTTGCTGAGCGCCGCATTGGCTTGGTCATGGAGGTCGCTCGTACCTCCTTGATCCATGCGGCTGCCCCCCACTTTCTGTGGCCGTTTGCGGTCCGATACGCTGCGCATCAGCTCAACCTCTGGCCCCGTGTCTCCGTTCCGGAGACTTCACCGACACTGCGTTGGACGGGAGACGTTGGCGATGCGTCGCGTTTCCGGGTCTGGGGATCTCGAGCTTTTGTTCGCGATACGTCCGCGGACAAGCTCTCCTCCCGCGCTGTTCCTTGTGTCTTCCTTGGCTTTGTCCCGGACGCGTCTGGTTGGCAGTTTTACCACGCCACCTCGCGCCGTGTCCTGCCCTCTCAGGACGTCACTTTTGACGAGTTGGTCCCCTACTACCGCCTCTTCCCCTACCGCACTGCCCCGCTCCCCCCCCCCCGCCTCTCTTCCTCGCACCAGGTGCTGCTGTGGTAGACCCCCTCCCCCCTCAGGGTGCCGCTCTCTCAGGTGTGTCCCAGGTAGACCCGGTTGAGCCTGTCGAGGTAGCTGTCGACTCTCGTCCTGCTAGGGGTGCTGAGCCTGAGCGTGCGGAGCCTGGGGGTGCGGAGCCTGGGGGTGCGGAGCCTGGGGTTGTGGAGTCTGAGGGTGCGGAGCCTGGGGGTGCGGAGCCTGGGGTTGCGGAGTCTGGGGGTGCTGCGCCTGGGGGTGCGGAGTCTGCGGGTGCTGAGTCTGGGGGTGCTGAGCCTGGGAGTGCTACGTCTGAGGGTACGGCGCCTGAGG